GAAATTGTGAGAGAGAGAATGTGTGTGTGGGAGGGAGGGTGTGTTTGTGGAGAGGAAGAAGGGAGGGAAGGTGCATGTTGGAAGGGGAGTGCCAAAGGGAGTGTGTGCGCATGTATAGGAAGGGAGAGAGGATACGCACATGTCAGCATGTGCATTATGGAGGGTATGTGTGTAGGGGAGGGAGGGAGTATAGGAGTGAGTAAGAGAGAGTGGGGCTAGTAGGGAAAATGCCTACCACACACTAACAATGAGAGTGTGCAGGAGGGAATTAGGGAGTGTATGTGTGAGAGAGAGAGGGAATAAATGTGTGTATGTTGTGGGAGAGGAGTAAATGTATTATGAGCTTGCAGGGTAACGTCACAGCATTTTGCTTTTATTGAACTCAGTGCAAACCGGATGCTTGCAATGAGGGGCTCATGATAGAGGTCACATGACTGCAGAAAGAAAGGAAGCACATGTGTTATATTTGCATTTTTATCTCAACTATCTCCTATTTGTACAAAATATTGCTTGCATTATCGTTTACATTATGGGTTACCTGAGTTAGACCAGAAGATGTGGGAGCAGAAGTCGGCCATTCAGTCCATTGAGTTTGCTCTGTCCTTCAATGAGGTCAAGGCTGATCTGATAATCCTCATCCACCCTTTTCTTCTTTTCCCCCATAACCTTTGATTCCCTGACTGATTAAAAATCTCTCACTGCCTTGAATAAATATACTTGATGAGCCAGCCTCATTAGTCTTGTGATAAGGAATCCCTCAGATTCACTACCTTCTGTGAGAAGAAGTTCCTCCTCATCTCTGTTTTAATTGGGTGATTCCTTACTCTGAGTTTATGCCAACCAGTCCCAGACTCTTTCTCAAGTGGGCACAACCAGTCTGTACTTTTCCGTCCAAGTTCCCTAAGAATTTTAGATGTTTTCGTGAAGTCACCTCTTATTCTTCTAAACGTCAATGAGTACAATAAATGTACTCAACCTCTCCTCATAAGACCACCCCTACACACTCAGGATTAATATAGTGAACCTTCTCTGGATTTGCTCAAATACCAATATGTATTTCCTTCGATTAGGGGACCCAAAACTAATCACAGTATTTCAGCTGTGATCTAATCAGTAGCTTGTATAATTTTAGTTAGACCTTCCTATTTTTAATATTCAATTCTCTTAAAACTAAAGGGCAACATTCCATTTGCCTTCCCTCTTACCTCCAGAACTTGTATGCTCGTTTTTTTGTAATTTATGCAGGAGGACACTAAAATCACTGTACTCATTCATGAACAGTTCACTGTTCTCACATATAAAGTAGGCTTTAAATCATGCTAATATCTTAATGGTACATGCATTAGCTGTTCTTCTAAGTGATGTTCCTTGTCTGGACAGTGTTGTTCCCATGTCATTTTTTGCTATCATGACACCTGTTTTAATTCCATTTCCATTGTCGGGATACTTTGGAACTCTGGGACCGAGGGTTGATTCATGGTCTGTGCTGATGGTAAGGTCACATCTTCCTGATTAGTGACGTACTGTGAAGGAACAAATTCTCCAATTGTGGAGATGTTCCTGTAGTTGCAATGATATATCAGGTCATTCATTTCCACCACATACAATCAGGTCTCAAGTTGTCACTTTGGCTGACTCTTGTCAGATTTGGGTTTTCACTTTGACTGGCTCTCAACTGCTTAACTCTGGCAATGGTTTGTCAGTCTTGTCAAAAAGCACTCTGACCTTCTGCCATGTTATCTTGATTTTGTTGTGCATATCTGTTACTACTTCTAACTTCAGTAGCTTTTTGCTGTTGGAAGACTAGTTTGGGTGTGGTGTAACATTAATTTTTGTACTGAACAACTTCAGATGTCTTCAGTAGCTTTTTTTCAATCAAAGATTACCTTGTTTTCATTTGTGCTGGCTTTGCTTAAATTCTTTAAGATTCTTTGGACATTTTCTACCATTGCCGCCACTTTTCCATATCTCTGGGGATGGTATACGGTGTAGAATTTCCCAGTCTTTTATGAAGCAGCTGAATTCTTCACTGATGAACTGACAGCCATTGTTGTTCTGCACAATGTCTGGAAAGCTTTAATGGCTGTTGTACTTTCAGAAATTCAACAATCTCAACTGTGGTGATTGAAGTCAGCTGGTCCACCTCCTAGTGGTCAGAATAATAGTTTACTGTGACAAGATAATCAGTTTCTGCAAGAATGAAGAGATTGGTTATTTTTATTCATTTACAGGATGAGGGCGTTGCTATGTGGCCAGCATTTATTGCCCATCCCTAATTGCGCTGAGAGCACGTAAGAGTTAACCACACTGCTGTAGGTCTGGAATTACATGTAGACCAGACCAGGTAAGCCTGGCAGGTTCCTTCCCGAAAGATGGGTTTTTCCAACAATCAATTCATGTCATCATTAGACTCTTAATTCCAGATCTTCTTTAAACTGAATTCAAATTCCACCATCTGCTATGGTGGGATTCAAAACCAGGTCCCCATAGCATTATTTGGGTCTCTGGATTAAGAGTCCAGCAATAATACCACTAGGTCGTCAGCTCCCTCTATTCTCCGTTTCATTCATGCTCCATCTGGGATGTCATGTTCCCTCAGTGTCTCTTGAGTTTGCTTTTGCTTATGACAAGCAGTGTAGTGCCTGCTGTGTTCTTTGATTTTAATTGCTCATATTTGATCAGTACAGCACTTCTGTTGTCTTAATCAGATTTGACTCAGTTCCGTGGTGGTTTGAAAGTTTATGCTTTAGCATTTCTCCACTCACCTCCTTAAGGTAATAAATCTGTTTCCTTCACACAATATGTCATCTTGGACTGTCAATTCATCTCTGTATGCTCAATGTACTCGTGTGACCACAAGAGTGTCCTTGATGCTTTTAGGCCATTCTTTGTTGGTTTGTTTTCTTGGTTTGAACACGGCACTTGTCCGTTAGATGCATCTAACAGCTAGGCCAATGACTTTCAGAGCTTGTTGAGCCATTGCTTCATGTTGGATCTGAAAGATTTCACACTGTCATAGCATCTTCTACTTTCATCATTTGGAGTGCTGCTCTAAACTGCATGCCTGCGATATACATCTGTTTCCCTTGCTAATATGCCAGTGTCTGATCCTAGGTGATATTATTGCTGGATAAGTCAGATCCCAGTCTAAAATCTGGCATTAACAAAGTGGTCTCTCACTGTAACATGAGCATGCAATTCTGCAAATTTGGTTTTAACAATAGAAGAGAAGTTTATTGCACAAAAGAAGTGAAGCTAAATCAGAATAAACCAAATTTTTACATGTAACATCTTTAAAGATTTCAAAACACATTAAAATACAATCCCATT